TTCTTGACAAATTCAAGGAAACCAGTCCTAATAAAGAAACAAGTTCTTGGTATTTTTCCCGATAAAGCATTGCTAGAGAGGATCAATACTTTTAAGAAGGAATTCTGGCCTCATAAACATGTAATCCTGCCCTTTCCACATCAATGTTATGTAGAATTCCAAACTATCAAAGATATTATAAAACCATGTTGTATTAATGGTATAATAATGATAGCTTTTACTTAAGTTGATGTGCTCTTGTGCCATAGTAGTAAAATTTTGAAGGCAGGATGGAATTTCATTGGACAAGTTATTACAAGAAAGATCCAAGAGTCGAATTTGTGTCAAGTGGCAAAGATGCACAGGTAGACTTCCATATAAATGATTCATCCGTAAGCTTAAAATTTTCAATTGTCCAAGGCTTATCCCAATCCATGAAGTATTGGTCCGGACAAACTATTCATTGACACATCCAATAATAATAGCTTGGAGCAATTCACCAAAGACAAAGGAAGTTCTCCAATCAAGCTATTGTTTCTTAATACCAAAGCTTCCATATCCATAAGCATCCTATAGAGGATGGATCTCTCCCAACAAATTATTGTTGCTCAAATCAACAAATTGTAATGAGTTCAGTCGGCTCCAGCAATTTGGTAGATGCCCCTTTAATTGATTGTTTGATACATCCAAAATGAGAATGCCTCCATCCTCAGTTTGGCTACATGCAAACGACATCAAATCTGAGAACTATTTTTGGAAAGATGAAGTTCTGATGCTTGCCCAAAAAGGATGGAACTGCCCTTCAAAGTTGTTTGAATTTAAAACAATAATTGGCCGATGATTGAACTTCAATGGTAAATTCGAGATTTGACCAGAAAATTGTTGGATGAGATATTCATGTAATCTAAATCTTTCAATGGTTGCCAAAACCATTCTGGTATAAAACCAGAAAGACTGCCATTAGAAATATCCAAAGAGTATAATTCATGCTGATTACGAAGCCAATTTGGAAAATTAGGACCTATCATGCAAGAAGCCATGAGCATATATGATATAATTGGAAAGGAGGAATCCAGCTACTGCTAGTTTTCAAGGCCAACGGATTGTGAGACAATGATAGAACCAACAAATTAGAAAGATTTCTGAAATGAGAATTCAGTAATTACACCTCCCAAATCATTATCATTCACCGTAAATATTTCAATTGAGATTGTGATCCTAAGACTTTCAGGTATTTTTTCCCTTCAATTTGTTGTGAGAGAGATCCAGCTCTTGCAAAAAGAAAAAAGCTGAAAGATCAGGTAACATGCCTGTCAATCGATTTCCTGGAAAACATAACTTTGCAATGGATGTCTATCACACCGTGATGTCTTAGAAATGAAACTTTGAAGGTCCCCACTCAAGTTATGGTAGCCAAGTGTTAAGCTCTTCAATGTGCATATATTCCCTAGTGATGTTGGAACTTCACCTTGGAGATAATTAGAGGTGAGATCAAGAACTTTAAGAGAGTTCATTGTGTTTCCAAAACTCTTAGGAATGGAACCGCCAAGCAAGTTATTATTGAGGTACACTTCGTAAAGATTGAAGGTGAAGTTGGAAATCCAATGGAATATGGTTGATGATGTGGAAATGATTAAAAGACATGTCAAGATGGAGAGAGAAGTAAAGATTGGGATTGAAAGATGTGAAGATAAGATTATTTGATTAAAGGCTACAATTTATCAAATAAAGCTCTTGAAGAGTGGAGTGTAGCCAAAGTCTCAACTTCATTACTGACATCAAGTCATTATAGAGAGATCACAACACAGTGAGGGAAGAAAATGAAAATGAGAAAATAGAAAGGAAGGATCATTAGCTGAAAGACTGCAGTTTCTTAGATAAAGCTCTTGAAGGTTAGAGCTGAAGTTGAAGGGCCACTTAAATAATGATGAGCTCAAGTTGTTAAAGGAGAGATCAAGAACGACAAGAGAAGAAGAATAGTTGGAAGGAAGGTTATGTGCATAAGTGATGCCACATCCTGTTAATCGCAGCAGTTGTCTTAGCTGTGGCAAAAGTTTGCCAATCATTTGGAGCCAAAGATGAGAATAGCCAACATCACTGACATTATTCAACCCAAGATTTGTTATTGAAGAGAGCTTAGATATCCAGTCTACATCACGATTGTTTTTGTCAGCCACTGTGAGATTAGAATCATAACCACCAAGTTGCAGTGTGTGCAGCATGGAGAGATTCCCAAGTTGATAAGGAATCACTCCATCAAGATCATTGCCTCCAAGATGAAGGTACTGCAACTTGGAAAGATTTCCGATTTGCCAAGGGATAGCTCCATCCAAGTGATTGTTACTCAGATCAACATATTGTAAGTTTGAAGCCTTTCCCAATTCATTGGGAATACTCCCAACAAAAAGAGAATAAGAGAGGTTGAGATATCTCAAGTTCGTAAATGACTCTATGGACTTAGGGATGTCACTTGGATATAAATAATTGCAACTGAGATCCAAATGTTTCAGATCATGCAAATCATTCAATAAAGTAATATTAATGACACCAACCAAATGAAGTGAGTTTGAACCATGGAGATCAAGAATTTGAACGTGACCTGTTTCATTGCTACAATAAACTCTTTCCCAGTTGCAACAATCTTCATCATCTCCGTCCCTCCATGTGGACAGCATAGTAGCAGAGTCAGCATAGATCCCTTGTTTGAACAAGAGAAGAGCCTTCCTCTCCCTCCCTATGCACTTCTTCATTGATCCACCATTAACAGCCACACTGAGACTTGAATGCAATAACAGCAACGTCAATAATGCATAGAAATATTTCAACATAAAGCCCATTGTATTGATGAAATAGCTTCAATACAAGTTCAAAAGTGAAAAACCTAGAGAGGTTTATGGCACAAAATTCTTTGATAACCGTGGTTCATTGTGGGGGGCTATATGTAGACGTTTCTGGTGAACAAAAGTCACAATAGATGTGGAGAGAACACGTTAGTTCAACAACTTTGGTTTTAAAAATAAAAAAAATCAATACCATTATTAGTTCTTTTTAGTTTTATTTTCAAATCATAGGTTTTACTTTCTATAACCTAAAACATTGCTCTTTACATACATATGATTAACACAAATATTTTAGAAAAGAGAACACGTATTTATTATATAACCAATCTAACTAATTTTCTTGTGAAATTAGTTATCTAGCTTTTATATTAAGCACTGGAGGTAGTATTAGACTAAATCTGTGTGTGTGTGTGTGTAAAACATATATTTAGACTTATTAGTGGTTGAGTAATGTTTGAGATGAAATCACTCACATTTTGACAAAGTCCATAGATTTAAAAGAGACAGATGAACAGTTGCTATCAATTTAGCGTATACTTAACTCCTGTAATAAATTAACATTATATTGAAGGACTATAAAAGTTGTTGTTATTATCAATGGCAGAAAAAGGTTATTATCATTATCGCAGCGTTGAACATTTTAATGGTACAGTTTCATTTGGACTAATGAAGACCATTAGTTTGTCACGCGTAATAAACACAAAGTAGACTTTAGGTGCTAGAGTTGTCATCAATTTATCATCTTGTCAGCCATCTTGTATTAGAAAAATACATTAGATTTATTAGTGATAGAGTTTCATGCGGGCTAATTAGTCAATGAGAGGCAAAGTCTGTAAACTTGAAAGAGCGATAGAGTTTCTATCAATTTTTTGTCTCCAACGTACAGGATGCATTAAACTTACGTTGATTAATTAGTTTTAAACTTTCATGCACATGTAAAAGGACTATGTTTGTCAACGGTAATTTTACTTGTAATGTTTGAATGAGTTTCCTAATTTGAGCCTGGTATTGATATGTTCGTGTGCATGTGTATGTTTAAGTAATGTTAAAATGAAAAAATAAAAAAAAGATGAAGTATGGTCTACGGCAAGTTGCTCAAGCGCCAGGACCATCCGTCACTCTTGGATGGGTTTTTGTAACATTTTGGACCACCAGATTATGGTTTAGTTTTCTAAACCATTATTTATTGATCTAGTTCAATTTTAACAACAATTTGCGTCAAATCAGTATAAATGAACATTAATCATAGGGTTTAAATAACATTTCACTGTTATCATAACACTTCTCATAGTCTATAATATTATTTTATTTTTTTCATTAGTCCCTACAAATTTCATTGGACTACGTAATCAACAGAAGATCTGAAGATTATAAAAATCAGTATAATTTTAAGCAGTTTCCAAGTTATTATCTCTTTTATGCGTCAGGTGAGCTTCAAAAAGAATCTAGTCAAAATAAATTAGCACTCAACTTTTTGCCGGTGCATTTGTTGAGGAATTATAGAGGGAGAATTATAATAAGGTCTAAAAAAAAAAAGATAATTACAAAACAAGTATCAGAAGTTGTCATTTTCTATTATCAAACTTGCCATTAAAAGCTACTTAAATTATTAAGACATTTTAATAATTATTTTCTTTTTTTGAGACCTCATTGTAATTCTTCCAATTATATAGGTTTTGGGTCTGAAATCAAAAGTTTGAGAATTAGTTATTTAGCTCTAACTAATTTTCTTAATACCCATAAATTAGTTATTTAATTCTTATATTAAGCATTGGAGCTATTATTAGACTAAATCTATACACACACACACACAAGTGTGTAGAACATATATTTAGACTTATTAGGGGGTATTTGGAAGCACCCTCGCAAAACGAGACAAATTCTTCTATATATTTATTTCGTATACCGTAAAAGTATTTTTAAACCATTGTTTAGTTTCTAACCAAACACTCTCTTGGTTGTTGAGTAATGTTTGAGATGAAATCACTCACATTTTGACAAAGTCCATAGATTTAAAAGAGGCAGATGAACAGTTGCTATCAATTTAGCGTATACTTAACTCCTGTAATAAATTAACATTATATTGAAGGACTATAAAAGTTGTTGTTATTATCAATGGCAGAAAAAGGTTATTATCATTATCGCAGCGTTGAACATTTTAATGGTACAGTTTCATTTGGACTAATGAAGACCATTAGTTTGTCACGCGTAATAAACACAAAGTAGACTTTAGGTGCTAGAGTTGTCATCAATTTATCATCTTGTCAGCCATCTTGTATTAGAAAAATACATTAGATTTATTAGTGATAGAGTTTCATGCGGGCTAATTAGTCAATGAGAGGCAAAGTCTGTAAACTTGAAAGAGCGATAGAGTTTCCATCATTTTTTTTGTCTCCAACGTACAGGATGCATTAAACTTACGTTGATTAATTAGTTTTAAACTTTCATGTACATGTAAAAGGACTATGTTTGTCAACGGCAATATTACTTGTAATGTTTGAATGAGGTTCCTAATTTGACCCCACTATTGACATGTTCATGTATATGCTTATGTTTAAATAATGTTAAAATAAAATAAAAAAGATGCAGTATGGTCTACTGCAAGTTGCTCAAGCGCCAAGACCATCCGTCACTCTTGGATGGGCTTTTGTAACATTTTGGACCACCAGATTATGGTTTAGTTTTTTAAACCACTAGTTCAATTTTAACAATAATATGCGTCAAATCAGTATAAATTAATATTAATCATAGCGTTTAAATAACATTTCACTCTTATCATAACACTTCTCATATTCTATAATTTTTTATTTTATTTTTTTCCATCATTCTCTACAAATTTCATTAGACTACGTAATCAACATAAAATCTGAAGATTATAAAAAATCAGTATAATTTTAAGCAGTTTCCAAGGCATTATCTCTTTTACGTGCCGAATGAGCTTAGAAAAGAATCTAGTGAAAATAAATTAGCACTCAACTTTTTGCATTTTCAAAGAGGTCCTAGTGAAGTCATGAGTCCTCCAGTGCACTTATTGAGGAATTATATAGGGAGAATTATAATAAGGTCTAAAAAAAGAAATAATTACAAAACAAGCATCACAAGTTGTCATTTTCTATTTTTAAACTTATCATTAAAAGCTGCTGAGGTTGTTATTTAAATTTTTTTAATAATTATTTGAAACCTTATTGTAATTCTCCCAATTATAAAGGTTTAGGTTTGAAATCAAAGCTCCGAGAATATGCTGGGCCTAATATTAAGTTCAGAAAATTATATAATTGGACATACTAAAGGGTCAATTGTTACTGGGCTATCCAATTGACATCCATTGGGCCAGAAAGAATTAACTATTAAGCCTAATAGTAGGACAGAAGAAGTAACCCGATATAATCCAGTGAGCCCATAACGTCTATATTTACAACGGTCAAATCATTCCTTTAATCTCAAGTCTCAACTCACTTCAACTTTCAACCATGAAAAAAAAACCCGGACCGGACCTGCCGGTGAACTGGCCTGATGTCCAATCTGGGTTAAGGCAAGAACCGGCCAGGGTTTGAACCGGTGGTAAACTGGTTGAGCCGATAAGAACCGGTGTTAAACCGGGTAAACCGTCGATTTAGGTGGTTTATCCGGTTCACTGTTTTGCCCCCTCCAGAGCCCAAAAATGACGACGTTTCATTTTTAAAAAAAAGCAAACCGAATCCAAAATCGGCTCGACCCTGCACCCGTCTCCTTCTTCCTCATTCGGTCTCCAATCTCCATCTCGTCCTCAGTCGCCCTCGCAGCCGCCGACTGCTTAGCTCACTTCCCCGTCCTCGGCCCAGCTCACTGAATCTCGTCGCCGTGTGCTCACTGCCTCGTCCTCAGTCCCATCTCATTGAATCTCGCCACCATGTGCTCACTGAATCTCCCAGCTCGCTGAAGCTCGCACTCCTGAATGCCCTCACTCTCAGTGTGGTCATCCACCATCGTCCCCTGCCTCGCCTGAAGCTGCTCGGTGCCCTGCCGTCGCCTCGCCTGAAGCTCCTCGCCTTGCCCACCCCTGAAGCTCCTCGCCTTGCCCGCGCCGTTAGTGCCCTGTCGTCGCCGATCCAAGTTGTTAGTGAGCAGCTGAGTGCTCGCCAATCTCAGTTCTCCCAAGTCCAACCTCCCAATTTTCGTTTGAACTCTCAGCCTCTGCTCTCGGCCACTCAGCAAACTCACCCATTTTCGTTTGAACTTGGAAGTGACGGTGATAATCTCTGCGATCTATTATTTTTATGGTTTGATTTTGCCATTTTGGAATCTGAATTCTGCTTCTGCTTGAGGATATTCTGTGAAAATTAATTGTATTCTGAAATCTAAACCCATCAATGGATTCCATGGATTTGTATCTGCTTGAGGATTGGTTTGCACGAAGGAATAATTTCATTAATTTGGTACTCTGGAATAATTTGATGCTCTAGTTTAGAATTACTTGTTTGGTTTCAAAATTGTGAACTGTGTTTGGTTTAAAATTGTGGTCCTTTCATTGTATATAGTGAAGTAGTGAAATATGAAACTATGGACGGTTTTAAAACTATGACGGTTCCCCACTTTGTTCAATATGAAATCTGAAACTGAATAACTTGATTGTTTAATCATTAATGTTGTATTAAGCTTTTGATTTTTTTTTTTAGTAGCAGTGATGGATATTTCAAATAACCAAAGTTCTGGAAATGACAACATGACTCCTAATACTGGATCTTCAAATCCTCCTATCGAAACCTCCACACCCACATCCTCATTACGTGCCAAAACTGATCCAGCATGGGCACATATTACGTACAAAAAAGAAGGAACACAAAATATATATACATGTCTTTTTTGTACTAATAGTTATAGAGGAGGTGGGATAAATAGGATGAAGCAACATCTTGCTGGCACTGTTGGTCAAATAGCTGCTTGTAAAAAAGTTCCACATGATGTACGTTATAGAATGGCAGAGTCTTTAAAAGAAGGGTCAAAGAAGAAAACTATTG